CCTGACTGAAGGAAGACTTCAACATCCTGATTCCCTTAGCTCTAGATTTTTTGGGGGGGGGGCGGGGGACAGACTCTTACTGGCTAGCCTGGGAACCACCATAGACCTCATGGTCTCTTAAGAGCCAGCATTTTTCTAAATTGCTCTGGCTACAGGTGTCTGCCACCATACTGGGATTAGGCCAATGAGATGGCACATTGCCTTTAATCACAGCACTGGGGGTGAGGGTGTGGCAGGAGTTCAAGGTCAGCCTGATCAACAAAGCCAGTTCCAGGCCAACACAGAGAGAAGGGGAAATTGGATTTCACTGACAAGCCCAGAGTAACCTTAATTGCACCTAACCCTGCCTCACTTTTCCAGAATTTCAGTCACTACAAAGCATACATCTGCAAAGAACCCATGAACCTGTTTTTTTTTTTTTTGTTTTTTGTTTTTTGTTTCTGTGTCCCTCCCCTCTACCATCTTCCTTTCATGGATTTATTTGTTATTTATTCTGTGTGTAAGCATGCTGGCTTACCTGTTCTGATGCACCATGTGGAGGTCAGAGGATATTTTTAGTAGTTCTTTCTCTCCTCCCCCCCCCCCCCCCCCCCCCCCGCCCCAACCCTCTTCACCCCCATGTGTGTTCTGGGAAAAAAAAATTCCATCCTCATACTCTGTGACAATCCAGCCTTTTTGCTTCTAACCCTTTTTGCTTCCAGAAGAAGACTGGCATTAAAGGTGCAAGCAACCGCACCTGGGTGCATTGAATCCAGGGCATGTGAGTTTTAAACAAATGCCAGGCAATTGCTCCACTAAGGTATATTGCCATACACACATCTTGGTAAGGCTTCTATGCAGTTGAACCTCCTACCTGGATATCCTTTGACAATAGTTTAATCAGCTTTCTCAAGCTGATGTAATGTACCTGAACCTAAATTAGTTTACAAATAAAATACCAAGAGGCCTTCTGTTAGTGTGTAACACCATCTTGTTAAGTTTATGTTCTTGACACACACACTCTCTCTCTAAAAGGCAGGCTGTGGTAAGGCAGAGATCAGAAGATCTCTATGAGTTTGAGGCCACCCTGGTCTACAGAGCGAATTATAGGACAGCTAGAGTTGTTACACAGAGAAACCCTGTCTCCGGAAAACAAAAGATTTTCTTTTTATCCAGGTAGTGGTGTCACATACCTTTTATTCCAACACTTGGGAGACAGAGGCAGGATGATATCTGAGTTCAATGCCAGCCTGGTCTAGCATGTGTTTCTGTGGTCATGCCGGTGCTGGGAATTGAACTCCGACCTTTTGGTTATATAATGTCAAGGTTTTGGTGAGAAAGTAGTCACGAGAATACATGGAATTCAGAATCCTGCTTTGATTTGTCCTGTAGGCCACTCTACTGAGGGTGTTCAGATCTTTCTGTCTATCTCCCTAGTCTGGTCTGCCTGAATAATCCCTGGTAGCCTAGGGTTGTCTGTGGAGATCAGGCTGTCCTTGAACTTGTAGCCATACTTTTCTCCTGTCCAGAGCGATAGTTCACAAACTTGTGCTTTGTGGATTTTTTAATTTTTGTGACAATATTAATTATATATTCCAGGAAATTAATGCCAATCTCCTGACTCAATCTTCCTTCTGCTGGCATGTGGTGGATGAACCTAAGGCCTCAAAACAAGGGGAAACCTGGGCTCCAGAAAGCCCCTGTTAGGAATCTATTATCAACACTTGTGCCAGTGTTCACAGTGAAATCTCTTTTGAGGAATTTCTGTCCTTAGAAAGCAGTAATCAACTGGCTGGAGACTTGATACGACATGGAAAGACCCAACCTTCCAGGTTCCTGTAGGGCCCTGCATCAGTTATTAGGTGACCTTCAGGATGGAATTTCAAGTAACACTTGGAGAATGCAAGGGGAAACATGGTGAATGACACAAGGAATGGGAACAAGGGCAAAAACCACAAAGCCCTGAGGAGTTTTATAAGGGAAATAATAAGATTTGGGAGCTTGTTCCAATCTAGCTCTGGGAAGCAAAATAAATAAATATTCTGGTCACCTGACCCAGCTCTTGTGTTGGCACTGGGGTACCTAATAAAATATTAGAGGGGGCAGTGAGGCGGTACAGCCTGGGAAGTATCCTGAGACTTCAGGGTGAAAATGAAATCTGGGAAGTTTGAAGCTCTCTTTATACCCAGTGTAGCTCAGGGTGGCCTTGACCCTGTCTCCTGCTGGTGAGCCTGGCAATGGGAAGGACTACCTTCCCAAGTTAGGCTAACTTGTCCTAAAGGAGCATGTCTCAACAAACATTAATTATGGCCTATGATGAAATGCTTTGAACATCAGAGATTATATAATTTCATAGTGTTGTATTTAAGTTCCAGTCATCCATGATAGAATGACTTAAACTTAGTAAATATTGATAATATTCTTCTTAGGACGAATAAATCTCCACTGTGTAATACATGCCACGTTGAACAGCAGCACTGTCCTATTTGGCTACTGTTTGTTACGAGAGCCACAATAAACAGGGATGGATGATGTTTAGGCGTCACTTGTGATTTAGCTTTCTTTCCTTCTTTTTATTGCATTTACTTGTGAATTTGTCTTGACAACCAGGCTTGCTTTAAAGGAATTAATAGGGAGGTCAGTAGGATGGCTGAGGACAGTTCAGGAATTGTTTTGTCTAATGAAGTTGCCATAGCTTACTCAAAAGGCAAATATGTGTTTGGAAATGGTTACATTATTTCTATATATTATATGTATATGCATGTCTTATTTTTTTCGATACAGGGTTTCTCTGTAGCTTTGGAACCTGTCTCTGCCTTCATTGTGCTGAGATTAAAGACATGTGCCATTTCTATATTTTTGAGGCAGGGTTCTCAACTCATAATTTCCCCTAACTCTTCTTCCTGTACCTACTCTTATTTCTTCTTAAGACTGCTTTTGTTTCTGCATGAAACTAAAAATGGATTTGTTTTGGCTATGTAAGAATAGAAAGGTGTCCTACCATCTTCAGGGTGACTCATTTTAGGCCGAAAAGTGCAGGAGCCACCATTTTTAACAGTCACTAGGCCTGATGAGGAACCAGGCTACTGAGGAACAATAGGGTTTATTCATGGGGAGCACTCCAGCCCTTGGTTAGACTGTAACCCTGGCTGTTCTGGAACGTACTCTGAAGACTAGGCTGGCTTTGATCTGCCTGCTTCTGCTTAGTGAGTGCCGGGATGAAAGGTGTGCACCACCACCACCACACAGCAGGTTGTTTTTAATTTGTATTTGTGTCTGTGTGTGGGAATGTGCATGTGAGTGCCAAAGGCATTGAGGTGTAGGATTCTTCCTAGAGGTGGATTTCCAGGCAGTTGAGCTGTGACTGAACGATGAGGCCTGCAAGGTCAGTACACTTTAACCACTGAGCCATCCCTCTAGTGTCTACTGTGGATCCCCTTGACTTCCGGTTCCAGGCCAAGCAGATGGAAAGATCTCTGAATATAATATGTAGAATCCCTTGTAAGGTGTTGCCTTTTTTACTTCTTGAAAAGGAAATGGTTTGTGTTCTTTTTGGAAAACAATGCTCCTTAAAAGCTTTGCCGTAGAAAGGACTTCTCGATCTGAATGAAACCAGAGGTAGGAGCACAAATTAACTATATTCTCATTCTCCCATTGGAGAACTACTGTTGTTCTTCAAGATTTGTCAGTTTTCATCTTTATTTATGGGTGTAAGAATGTTGTTTGCATGTTTGTTTGCTGCCTGCTTATCTGATGATGGGAACATCCAGGAGAGGGAGCTAGGTCCACATCTCCAAACAAACCAAAAAAAGATTAGTAAGAATGGTTATGGTATAGGTCAGTAGTAGAGCCTTTGCCTAGCATGCAGGAAGCACTGGTCCATACGTCCTCAAGTATGCCTGGGATTTCAATGCCACGCTGGACTATAGCCTTGGCTGATTTCCCCTGTACTGTATACATGTGCATGAGTCATATGACAATTTTATTTTTCATCAGATTTTGACAAAATTTGAGCTTCTGTATAAGATACACTGAGATCAAGAGATGAATAAGTTGGACTGGCTCAGTGGATACAGTTTAATTTCTGAGCAGCCACAGAACCCTGTAATTCCACTTCCAGGCATTCTGATACCCTCTTCTTCCCAGGACAGGATCCTGCATACAGGGTGGGCATCCAGGCTCACAGAGAGAAAATACAGTATGCAAATTGCTAATTCTAATGTACAATACTTGGAACTAATTGCCAGGGAACATCCTAAAACTGCTAAAGCTAAATATTCAAGCAGCACACACATCACAACTCATCCACCCTCTTGTATGTATGTGCTTGTACCAAATAAGAAGATTTAGAAAATTCAGTACAAAAAAAGCGGTATCTCCACAGATGAAGTAAAATATTCAATGTATGAATTACTACATAGCAGTTAAATCAGTGAACTACACTTGCACTTAACTTAATGAACAGAATGACAAAGCATCTTTGTCAGTGACAGGAAGACAGTCAAAGAAGTTCATTTAATATTTATACCACATCCTCCCATATCTTGTGATGCTGGGTATTGAACTGAGCACTACAAATCCTTTGCTACATGTTGACCACTGAACTAATGTACTGCTTTTGATTGATTGCTTTCTTGACTGGGGTGTCTTTATGTAACTCTGGACAATCTATCAGACAGGTTTGCTTTCATGCCTCTGACTCTCTGGGATTACAGGAATGAACTGCTATGTGTGGTTTAAATGGGAGTGGGTGTGAGGTGGAGGCAGGTCCAGGACCTAACAAATGTGTTTGAAGCCATATCTCTAAGCTCATTTTAAGTGCTATTAAGTTGTTGAGTTCCAGCTGGGCATAGCTGCTCTCACCTTTTGTAATCCAAGTACTGACACTGAGTCAGGAGCCTTGCCCTAAATTCCAAGTTTGCTTGGATAGGTAGCTATGAACAAAGATATAACAAAGGGGATATGAAGTATTTGTATTATTTCAGCAGGTAATGGGAGACATTTCTGTGCTTGCTTTATAGAAAGACTGTAACAACAAACCAGTAAATGGCCCCAAGCCAGAGTCCATGGAACACAGCCAATGTGGTCATGGGGAAGAAGGGCAGAGATTGGATTTGATCACACACCCCCTTGAAAATGTAGGAAAGAATACAGAAAGCATGACAGGAATTGATGTGGGGCAGTGGACGCCAACCAAGAAAGCCCACTTATCAGGACAGGTCAAGGGAGACCCCGATGCAAATTTAACTGAGGTTGAAAATTCCCAGCCCTCTGAAGATGACAGGATAGAAAACAAACCTTCCCCTATGTTAGCACAGACCATAAGAGACTTCATGAAAAATGTACACTGTTTACCTGCAGACACAAACCTTCTGATCAACAAATTGGATATTCAAGAAATTAGCAAGGTATTGGGAAATAATTCCTCTAAATTGCTGACTGACCCCTCAAACTGCAATGATGCCATGAGCTCCATCATTTCTGATGGAAGTTTTGATCAACTCAAGGAGACAAATGACATCTTGCTCTTCCAGAAGCCTGGCTTGAACTGCCGATCTGGTGCAGAATCCACCATCTATAACAATCACCCTGATACACATAGTGCTGGTAGTCAACCCCAAACCCCTGAGAAGGCACCTATTAAAGAACCTAAAAGTGACTCTCCAGTTCAGCCAAGTCTTTTATCACTAATGAAAGACAGGAGATTGACACTGGAACAAGTGGTAGCCATCGAAGCCCTAACTCAGCTCTCAGAGGCTCCATCAGAGAATTCCTCCCCATCCAAGTCAGAAAAGGATGAAGAGACAGAAGAGAGGACAGCTAGTCTGCTTAATAATTGCAAGGCTATACTTAGTTCTGTGAGAAAAGACACCCAAGACTTCAACTCACAAAAGAAATGTCTTCAGCACCAGGCCACTGTGTTTTTCAATAGCCAGAACACAATGTTCAGTTTGTTGGATAGTTCAGCTACTAACGAAGCACTTATAAGGTCACATCAGCAATCGAATTCACTGGTATCCAGTAGGAAAGACACTGCTGGAGGCAAATCTACCCTTCATAGTTCTGAGATTTCATATCTAATGCCGGTAAAAATTCATAATCCGGAAAACTGCTGTCCGGCAGTAAACAGTGATCCATCATGTCACGATGCACCCTACAGTCAAATTGAGGAGGATGTCGCAGCACAATTAACCCAGCTTGCATCCACAATTAATTACAACCTCACATATCCAGAAAGTGAGAACACTGAAAGGCCACTGGGGAGCCTTGCTGCCAAGACTATACAGCAGAAACATAGTCAGGAGAAAGGCATAGCACAACAGAAACCACCTTCAAATATACAAAACAAACCTAGCATACCGCCAGCCAAGCCAAAGAACAAGAACCGGAAAAAAGCAAAATCAACTCCCAAAACAGACAAACAGAAAAAGGAACCCCCTGTACTTAGCTCTCAAGAAAATGATCAGAAAAAACAAGAGCAGCTTGCAACTCACTATAGTAAAATGCACGACATTTGGATGTCATCAAAATTTCAAAGATTTGGCCAGTCTGGTCCACATGATGTTCCTGTGATAATGGGAAATATTCCTGTCTTTGACCAAATATTAACACCGGTGGCTCATAGTGACATACCCTTACAACACAATACGCTATTTCCTCCTGTCAGACAGATAAAATTCACAAGACAGTCTGAATTGGCAAAGGAGGAAGTAAAAGTTGAACCATCATTCCCCTTACAAATGGAATCCAGCAGGCAGACATTTGAAGATCTGGCAGATGTATCTCAGGTAGAGACTAAGGCAAATGTCACTGAGAAAGCTTTCCCTCTGCCCCAGTCTTCCCCTCCAGTTAACCCGTGTGCTAACATGCCTGGTGCTAATAAAACACAGATTCACCTAGGCGCTCAAGAGAGCCTGATGCATCAGATACCACCAACGTTGCCTGGTACTTCTCCTGAGACACCCTTTCTAGACCTACAGTCCAACCCTAGGAAAGTGAACGTGTCAAGTTCCAATGGAATTACAGTTGTGAATGCAGAACCACAAACACCAAGCGATGGACCATTGGGTGACACCACCACACCCAGAGCACAGGCAGAATTGAATGAGACCATCATGAACTGCCTTAGGGAACCTGCAAAATTGCTGCTACCTGGAAGGAATGAGAAGGACTCTGAGTTGGAAGAGCCAGCCTGTGATTGTAAAGGTGAGTGCTATTTGTCTTTTGGGCAGGGGCATCTTTGGCCCTTTCTAGTCTACCTATGATGCACCAAGTATTTTCCTGTGATTCTGTTGACGTTTTATTTTACTTTGCAAAATGGAAGTTTCAACTGAAACCTTTTTTCAAGTAGAGAACAGTTTTAAAGCAGTTCATTTCATGACTAAGGATGAATTTCCTCCGTGCTTAATTATGTTTGCTACTTGTTCTATCTTTATTCAAATTTTTTTTCTTGTTAAATCAAATATGCATAGATAGAATGTAAAAGCATATAATTGCAGATAGTTGAAAATATCGACAGCTTCTGTCTGTTTTGTTTAAAGATTTTGTTGGGTAACTGAGGTGTCTTGGTGGGTGAAGCACTTTGCCCCCTTAGTGCCCAGAAGCCATTATGGCTGGAGGCTCTCTGACCTCCACATCTTTCATTTTATTTTTGTTTGGTTTTTCAAGACAGAGTTGCCTGTCCTGCAAATCTGTACAGATCCTACGTGCTGGGTCTAAATGTGTGGACCACCACTGCCTGGCTGACAGAAGGGTTTTAAGTTTGGCCTGACCTTTATAGCAAGAGTTTGTCTCATAAAACAAAACAAACAGAAATAGGGTTAGAGAAACAACACAGTATTTTAAAACACTTTTAAAAACTGTAGGAGCTGGTTACTGATCATTCTTTTTTGATAGTTTTGCTCAATGAGACTTGTAGGCTGACTAGTTAGTCACTGTCATCCAGATTTCATGGAAGGACTCTGTGGGGGGTCAGGCCTGTAATCCTAGCCCCAGGAGGTAGAGACAGGAGAGCCAAGGATCAGTAGTGAAATAAAAATAAAACAAAGACAGGGAGATGGTACAGATTGTGTTCTTGACATTTATCTGGCTTGAAGTTTGTGATATAGACGGATTAAATTTCTCCAATGCACGTTTAATTATTGCAACATTTTCGGTCACGGATGGCCCAAACAAAAGATTGTGTTGAACCAAATGTGATAAGTATCTCTCATACTAGAGAGTCGAGTATTGAGAGTGAATTGTTAAATGACAGCTCTGGACTGGAGATGGAATGTAATTAGTTATCTTGAAAGAATACTAAAAAGTGGCTGTATTGCCAGTATATGGTTGGGGTCACAGTGTTAGGAAGATTGAGAAGTGCTTGAGCATCATAGCAGGTGAGGATCTTGTTTTCAGGATAGTGTCAGAGTAATGCATTTCCAGGCAGGTGCTTGTTCAAGTTAGCATAGTATTCCTGGCCCCTTTCATTAGATGGAAGCTATAACACATGCATATAATATTTATACTAGACAGAACTCAAATAACCAGTGATTGTGTCATGGGCAGAAAGTAACCCTGTTCTTTTGAGGGTTGCAAGGGTTCACACCTTGTTTCTCTGTGTAACAGTCTTGGCCATCCTGGGTAGACCAGGCTGACCGAAGTCTGTGTCCCAAGTGCTGGGATTAAAAGTATGTCTCACCCGCTGCTCAACAATCAAGTCTTGTTTTGTTTAGGTTTGGTTTTTTGAGACGTTTTCACTGTATGGCTTTGGAGCTTGTCCTGTAGACAAGTCCGGCCTCAAATTCACTGAGATACTCCTGACGCTCCCTTCTGAGTGCTGGGATTCAAGGGGTGTACCATAACTGACATGTTCACCCCTCCTTGTTCTTACTTCCACGCATCTTCCCATGACAAGGACTGGTGAGATGGTTTCATGTAACCAACAAAGCATTCAGTGATCTTTCAGATGACACAGATTCAATTTCCAGCCTCCACAGGGAGGCTAAACCTTATAGTCATATTTTAGCACGTGCTCTCCGGTGCACATGCAAGCATACAAACCTACAACAACTGGGGATGACCTAGATTCATCCCTTGCTTGCTATAATGCTTGCTGCACCTTGCATGTGCTGGGGAAACACTGCACATTTGACCTATGCCCTCAAACCAAAATAATGACTTGTAAAAATACCATTGTGCTGATAAATTGTTTATTATCTGATAAAGCTAGCCACAGATGTAGAGCCAGGCATTGGTGACACACCAGCAGCCCATACTAGTTAGTGTAGAAGCCAGGCACATACCTTTAATCATAGCATTCAGGAGTTGAGCTATAATGGCTGGGTGGAGAAAGGAGAATTCCTGGGTACAGGATTGCCACTTCAACTTGTTGTGGAGCTATCAGCTTGGCTGCTGCCCTTTTCTGATCTCCAGTGGTTTTTATTAAATCAAACAACTCATCCCATAATACAAAAAAAGAAAGAACATAACAAACATAAGGAACTATATGCAGTAAGTACAAAAAGTATATACAAGCCTGCTTGCTATTCCCAAATTTTACAAATTCAAAACAAACTGGACAAAGAGGCGAATGTCTGATAGGCATTGGAAGAAAGTTTTTATCTTATCCTCAAAGTCTGATTTGTCTTTAAACACATGGGTTATTTTTACTATCATTGTTATTATTATTATTTTGTTAATAGTGCCGACGACCTCTGCTGCCCCCGGTAGCCAATATTTTTGTTTGTTTGCTTTTTGAGACAGGGTTTCTCTGTGTAGCTTTGGCTGTCCTGGAATTCACTCTGTAGACCAGGCTGGCGTCTAACTCAGAGATGCACATGTCTCTGCCTCCCAAGCGCTGGGACTAAAGGCATGTGCCACCAACACCCATTAATAGATAAGGCAGCACAGGCTTGACCCCTAAGACATCTGTTAGTTCTCCTTCCCTGGTACTATGGTTGAAGGTGTGTATCTCTAAATTCAGCTAGTGACTTACCTTTTGTAAGTCACCTCCCAAGTTTTTAAGACAGGCTGTCATGTAGTTGAGATTGGCTTCAAACTCTAGTCCAGACTTAATCAAGCCTCAGCATCCCAAATGTGTGAACAGTGATATTTAAAGTACTTCAGGATTGCTCAAGAGCTGTTGTATTAATATATAAATTACCTGTCACTTACTCCCTGTTTGCAGATGAATTTGGCTATCTTTGGATAGTGCAGAAAATCGAAATAAGTAGCTTTCTCATACATCTTCATTATAAAAAGAAAACATAATTGTGGAAATGTGGTGGGGTATCTTTTACCTGCAGCATGTAGGATCCTGAAGTTAACCAAGGTTGAACAGGAGCCAGGTGCAATCCCAGACCTTTGCCATAGACCAGGGGCATCAGGAGTTCATAGTCATCCTTTGCTGCTTAGTTGAGGCTCTACCGAGAGCTTATTTTATAACATTTGCTACTCATATTAATAAAAAGGTAAAAGAGAGAGGAACTAGGATCTTCTCTCCTTTTACTCATAGAAGAATTAGGAAGGTGGCAACAGGGACAAGTCCAATATCAGTACCTGTTGTCTTATTCTTTAAAGTTGAAACTAATGAGTGAGAGGGGGGAATGAAAGAAAAAGCCCCTGTGCTATTTTGAAAAATTGGGTCTAATAATCTTATTCCTTCCGCAGATCAATCAGACAAAGGCCCATATTATACACAACTGGGGGCAGGACCAAGTGTTGCTGCTATCAGGGAGATCATGGAGACTAGGTGAGGAGATTTGCTTCCCTGCTAAAATCATTCTTCACCATGGACTTGGGTCAATGTAGAGCAAAGAACTTCCTGAAGTGAATGAAGACATTCAGGAGTGTGAGTTGGGTGGGTCTTAGGTTCTCGGTATGACTTATCCTCCTGAGTTCTTCCTCCAAACAGCTCAGAGCCCTGGATATATGCCCTAACTCAGCAAGCCTAAGTGATAAATCAGAGACATGTATTTTTCTACTGTTGTATAGATTACCATCACCAGTGCTTTAACCCTAACTTCCCAACATTTGTGTGGAGGCCAGGCTATTTTCAAGTCAATAGAACTGGGTTACAAGAACAATCTACCACATAGGAGATGGCTTTTAGCCAACATAAATGATAACTGGTTCCGTTTTAACTGATGTTCAGAGGTGAAAATATTAATTGGTCCCACTCTTTACTGTGTTCTGTATTCAGATACGGTGAAAAGGGAAAGGCGATACGGATTGAGAAGGTAGAGTACGTGGGAAAAGAGAGCAGGAGCTCACAGGGCTGCCCAGTCGTCAAGACTGTGAGTACCATTAATCTAACAAACTTTTCTTGATTCTTTGGAGCATGGCTTTTTCCCATGGGTTGCAATAAAAATGTTTTCTTTTGGCTAAAATGGAGACTAGAAAACTTGGCCTTTATTTCGACAGGAAGATGAGAAAGTCTTTACTAGGTTTTGGATTTTCAACAGAAAAGAAATTTAAGTGCATAGTTGGGTCACACATTTGCTCTGGGCATTGAGTCTGTATAGGTATTGAGCCCTGTCTGCCCTGGAACTTAACGTTGTAAACACAGTTGGCCCAGAACTCCCATGAGCTTGGTTTAAAGTTGTGTGCTACCACTGCCCAGTGGAGATTCAAGACCCCTTGAATGGGTGTGGTGATGGAGCCAATGGAGTTAAGGTCACCCAAATGCAAAATGGAGTGGAGGGGAAGTAGGGAAAATTGTGTAGAGGGATGCTCAGAATACCCCTTCCGTGTTAATGCTTAGCAGAGAGAGAGAGAGAGAAACAAGTAAGGTTAAGGTGAAAGTAACCTGAAAAAGTAAGCTGGGCAGTGGTGATACTTTATTTAATCCCAGCATTCAGGAGGCAGAGGCAGGTGAATCTCTTATGGGTTTGGAGGCCAGCCTGGTCTACAAGAGATAGTACCAAGATAGGCTCCAATGCTACACACAGAAACCTTTCTCAAAAAAAAAAGGGGGGGGGGAGGTGAGGAGGGAACTGTAATTCCACTGAACTTTGTAGTTTTAATTAGTTTAACAAGTGTTTGTTCTATCCTTTGAGACTAATTGTCAGTGTAATTTCTGCTGCTGCATAACAAAAAACCTGAAACAGCAAAGTCATTCTTCCTGCCTCCTTCCCTCCCTCCCTGCCTCACACCACTCCTTAGAGAGAATCTTAGAGGTGAAGAGATGTGTCATTGGTTGAATGTATACATACTGTTAATGCAGAGTATCCAAATTCACTTCCCAGCACCCATGTTGGGCATCATGCATGTGTTAAACACACAGGTGCACACAAGCAAAGTTTTTTGTCTTTAAGCTAGACAGTTGTGGCTCACACCTTTAATATCAGAACTCTGGAGGCAGATCTCTGGTCTAGAGTAAGTTCAAACCTTGCCAATGTTGAATCTGCGATAACCAGGAGCTCAATTTCAGTTTTCTTTTCAGTTAACCCATTTGTGCAAAAGGCCCCAAGTTACAACATATGTCTATCTTCATGTAGAAGTTGTTTCCTGGGATAACCTTCTCCCACTTCTGCTATGAGGAGGGGAGTAGGGAAGGTGCAATTTTGTAACTACAGATGGAACTCCTCATCTTTGGCCTCCAGTACATGCTGGTGTTTTTCGAAGTTTTCATGTTATCTTTCATTTTAACCTTTTTGTGTGGGTCTTCTATTTTATAATTTTCTACTTTATCCCCTTTTTATCTCTTGATCTACAATGGATCAAACTCAAGGCCTCTTGCATTCCAAGCAAGCATCCTGCTCCTGTAATAGGCCTCCAAATATTCAAAACCCCTTTTCTATATGTCTGATTGGCTGGCCAGGAACTCTGTAGACCGGAAGCCTAACTGTTGGTTCTGGGGACGCAGTTCCCATACATGTTGAACGTCCTTGCTGGTCTTACCTCCAGCATTTTATCATGTACGTGCACACGCACACACACACAAATGACTATAATGTATACTTAAACTATATATGGTTTTTGTTTTTCATTAGTGTGTATTATTTTTTGGCTGGGTATTGGTGTACATATTTCATGGCACATATTTGTTGGCTAGAAGATAACTATAGAAAGACAGTGTTCTGCATCTGGCTGGCTGTGAGGTCTTTGAGACAAAGCCTCATATTTCCTAGGCTGGCTTCAAACTAGATATGCAGGCAAGAATCATGACAGACTATGCCGTTGCCCCTGCTCAGGAATGCTGGGTTTATGTGGTGTTTGGGACTGAACACAAACATGTTACACGAGACTAATGCAAGGAAGGCAAGCTGTATATCATCAGTTGAGCTATATATCCTAGCCAAAAAGTCTGTACTTTCTACATTGAAGGTCATGTTTCTTTCTTCCTTCTTCCTTCCTTCCTTCCTTGCTTCCTTCCTTCCTTGCTTCCTTCCTTCCTTCCTTCCTTCCTTTCTTTCTTTTTCTTTCTGCCTCTCTGTCTGTCTACCTATCTATATCTGCCTCCCAGTCCTAAGATTAAAGCACCACCTTCACCTAACTTCACCTAGCTTCTTCTTAGGTTATTTAATTGCTGTATTAACATGGTAGAAACCTTTTTAAAACCAAATACAAGTTTCATAAAGTTTGCATGAAACCAGACAAGTCCGTGTTAGCCACATTTCTTTGGCCCTCAATATCCGGAGAAATTACACAGCTCCTAACTATGTATTTAATTTGTTTTTCATCATAGATTTCTTCAAATAAGACATGTCCTAAAGATGTTTCCCTTGACATATAGGGCCTTCATGGTTGTAGTCTCTACATACTGATCCTGGGAAATAATCAGTTCAACCAAGCAAGGCATTTGAGGCCATCATGGATAACATTGGAAGATTCTTTCTCAGAATGCTAGCCTTTCCAGTGCAAAGTTGATCATTATAAGTTAGGGCCCCCTTTTCAGTTCCCAGAATCGACATGGTCTTCTAAAACTACATGTAACTGACATTCTTTTGGCATTCATAGATAAACACTATATATTTGAAATTTAATTGGCTGGGTAATGGTGGTGGTCGCCTTTAGTCCCAGCACTCTGGAGGCAGAGGCAGGCAGATTTCTGTGAGTTCAAGACTAGCCTGGGCTACAAGAGGACAGCCTCCAAAACGACAGAGAAACCACTTCTCGAAAAACAAAAACAAAACAACAACAACAAAAATTTCCTTTTATTATTATTATTATTTTTACAATGAGTCTAAGTCCTACGACACTGTATGAGGCTCCTCTGTAAAAGCCCTTCTTGGGGTTGGAGAGATTGCTCAGTGGTTAAGAGGTCCTGAGTTTAATTACCAGCAAGCACAACCATATTAATGAGATATGGTGTAGAGGCAGGACACTTAACAATTAAATACATCTTCAAATGTGTAGCTGGTGTAGATGAATATATTCTGCATTTCCAGGTACTTAGAAGAAGCAACGATGATGAGAAGGTTCTCTGTTTGGCCCGGATACGTGTAGGTCACCACTGTCAGACAGCTGTGATAGTTGTGGCCATCGTTATTTGGGATGCCATCCCCCGACCAGTGGCAGACAATATGTATGATGAGATAACAGATAACTTAAGATCCTACAGCGGACATCCCACTGACCGAAGATGTACCTTCAATGAAAAGTAATAAGATTGTCTTTGAACTGCTTTTCCATTCTCTTTTGTATGTGGTAAATGTAACTGGGTGTGGTTTTGCTGGAGGGCAGCTCAGACTGCACGGTGAGACCCTTGTCTCCTTTAGAGTTTATTTGGGGGGCGGTGCACTAGTGATTGAATCTCAGCCTTGTTCATCTTATTGAGAACATATCTATCATGCATATATACACCCTCAGAACCTAGAATATTCTTCTATTTGTTACTGTAAGTGACCCAACTCCATGTTAGTATTAAAAGGAACATTCCTCGTTAGAATTTAAGGCCTCTTCCTCATATGAGTGTAGAGGTCACATCAATGGAATCTTGCTTTGGCTTCCATTATCACTAATCTCCTCCCACCATGTGCCCCCTCCATGCCATGTCTATGAAGATGTCACTCCTTTGAAAAGGAGTCTTCTTACCCTCTAGCGATATCTATGCTTGGCCTATCAACACTCTTGGCCCTTTGATCTTTATACCACTGTAAGGTAATGATTCTGAGCCTATTTGGAGACTTATTGCCAATATATAGTACAGAACCGTGATTCATGATTCTCCTGTGTCTTCATAGCATGGTCTTACTGAGTAATCATGTTTTGTTCAATTTCTTATTTCCCAAAGGTGTATAAAGTATGGTATAGTATATTGGTAGATTTTTATCATTTAAACTGAATATGAATTATTTCTTGTCTACCAAATTTAAATACCCTTTGTCAATAATTTGGTGCTTTGTTCCTTCTTTCCAAGTTCATGGAGGACATTGTGCCGTGGCCATGTCTGAAGATTATTCTACATTGTTTTGTGAAGCATATTTCATTTCATAGCTAACATCACATTTATCAAACACTAGGCTTAAAGAATGCATGGCTTTGTGATCTCCGGATTGCTGGGAATACGATGAGTCAGCACAACTCCTTGCTCCTGACTACACTTATTCTAGATTGTCTTACGATATTGTCTTGACTTTCATATCTATAAATTCTGTATAGAATTTAAGGTGATTTTAAAATAAATCCAGAGCTGAGGAGTCTCAAAGTGTTACATTTATAACAAAACAGCCTTTCTATTCCATATTCCTGTTCTAATCCTCAAAGTCATTTCATTGAAATGGCCAGGGATTGCAGTTATGCATCATCATTATTTCCAGTTTCATGCTAAGGAAAATGATGTCATTAATTTATATTATTTATTTATTTATTTATTTATTTTGGGTTTTTGAGACAGAATTTCTATGTGTACTTTTGGATCCTGTCCTGGAACTAGTTCTTGAACTCACAGAGATCCACATGCCTCTAACTCCCAAGTGCTGGGACTATAGGTGTGTACCACCATGGCCTGGCTAAAAGATGTCATTTTAGACAAAGTGTAACTTTTCATTTATCCCATGTATCCAAGTCATGAAGATTTGTTTGTTGTCTACTTGCATTTAGAAGCAACAACTTTAGTTAAATAAGAACCAAGAATGGTTTCAGAGTGAAGAGGAGTGATTTGAGGCTAGGGCATGGTAAGTATTGTAACCTGCTCATAATCCATCCATCTGTATGTCTAATGTCCCCAATATCTTCCAGACGTACCTGTACCTGTCAAGGCCTCAATCCAAAGACATGTGGAGCATCTTTCTCATTTGGGTGTTCATGGAGCATGTATTTAAATGGCTGTAAATTTGGGAGAAGCCCAAACCCAAGAAAATTCAAACTTGCTCCAAACTATCCATTAAATGTGAGTTTCCTTTTTAATCTTCAGTTCATCAGCTATAGTATATAACCAATTATAGTCCCCAATGTTAGCTGTCATAAATTACTAAGACATGTATATAAATTCATATTCTAATTTGTGGGTCTGTCTTCATGCTCTCCAACACCATTATCAGAGCAACCTAGGACTTAACAGGCAGCCTGAGTAGAACAAACCATTTGTCAACATGTAAAGACTAAGAAACCTTCTTATCCACAGAACTACTATAAGAGAATTACTGGAATACTACGTAAATCCAAAATAAGACGCAGAAGATATGTGAGACCTCTGAAACCCAGGTGGTTGATTCTGGAACACAAGGCCCAGGTGAGTACAAAAATTCATCTAGTCCAATTGTAGGAGTGGTTCCGACTAAGTAGGTACTAGTTAAGGGTATATATTTGAATTTTGTTAGGTCAAAGGAAACATGGGTTCATTACCAGCACTAAATCACTACATTTAAATAAAACTAAGTAATGTGCTGCCTGTCAAGGCTTCATACTGATATCTCAATCAAAGGACTAGATTTTTTTGTTCATAACTTAAAACAACAATTTATGAGCACTTGGTCAGTCAAGGTTGCTTCCATGAAAGCATGTTTCATTTTGTCATGTTTATGGGGGAAGTTTTGGAGACAGTTTCTCTAACTGTCCTGGATCTCACTTTTAAGACCAAGTTGAAGTTGGCCTTGACAGTTGCTTGCTGTCTCTTGAGTGCTGACATGAAAGATGTGTACCACCAATGCTCAGGAAAGCATGTTTTAAAAAACATTCATCAGTAGAAATTATATTTCATTAAATATTCAAAGAAAACCACATAATTCACCACATTGGAATTTAATGGAAGGTAAGAAATACATATATTAAACGTCATAAATGGTTGGTGTCAGATATGAGGAAAATCCCTATATCTGCAGCTAAATAAATGTATATAGACATCAGAACAAGAATGAAGTGTATTTGACCTGTAGATAAGTACAGAACTAGTTTCAATAGATGATAACTGTAGATAACTATAGATAACCATAAAACTAGATGTTCTCCTTAGAATATCTGTAGTGTGTTATTAGTACGTTTAAAGCCAGGTGTAGTAGCATTCATCTTTGATCCCAGATCTTGGATGTCAAAGCCAGACAACAAGCCAAGCTATTATCTCAAAGAAACAAGGCGATAAGATTTAATTTTCATCCTACTATATTTCTGAATTACTTTTTTCATATATAAAAAGATACTGTTAACTATTTATTACTCTTATATTGTATTGTAAACATCAATGTCACTGTTTTAAGTGTTGGTTATTTTTAATGGTAAGTTATATTGTAAGTAACATTATACCAAGGCAAAAGCCATGAACTACCAATAGGAGTGTGCATCAGCTGTATAGGCCAAACCTGAGGAATTGGGGAAGACTTGAAGATGTCAAGAATCCTTGGTTAGAGATGTAATAAATAGATGAAGTTACCCCTAGTTGGAAATAATGACAGACTATGGCAGGCGAGACAGCTCTTCCATACAAACTGGAATGTTGGTTTGACATTTCCATGAGGTGAGGTCTGAGTGCAGACCCAGTGCTCCTAAACATCAGAAATTACTGAGAAGAGTAGATGTTTCTAGTTTACACACCAATAGGCAAAGCTCTGTTAAAAAGCCATGATTAGAGCTGGAGAGATACTTCAAGGGTTAGCCTTGAACACAATCCTCCTGGGCTAACCTGAAAAGTGCTTATTTGAAATTCTCAGGACAAGATACATGATATACTTTATATATATTGTAACCTGGAAAACCTGTGCCTCACCTGAACCTCCTCTGTGTCCAGTTCTAATAAGTAATAGGTATGCCTTTTATTCTAAATATCAAGAGGAGTGTTAGTTTATTTTCCTATATATATGTTCATGATGTTAAAATTTCCATTTCAAAAGATAACAATTTCTTGTATTCTACCCACTGTATTATGGTAAGCGAATTATATGTCAGCCACATTATGAAGTTACTTGTAGACTATTTATACCTGAAACATAATTATCTTATGATTATCTTTTATTATAGGAAAAGAAGATTGAAGGGATTTTAAACAAAATGGCTGACAAATTAGCTCCAATATATAAGCAGATGGCCCCAGTTGCTTATCAAAATCAGGTATGTTTGGTTTTTTGTTTGCTTGTTTTATTTTGTTGTTTTTTAAAAACACCTTTCAAATGACTTTGAGCGTACACATATTAAAAAAAAGTTTGTATATCAAAATAGTTCTCATTAGTTGAATTACAACCATAGGCAAATGAGGGATTTAATTTTCAGGTAGTGCTCACCTATCCCATTAGGCGCTCCAGAAGTCTCTGAGGGGCAACAGAAAGTTGAGAGGCCATTATCATCTACAAGGTACCATGTTTCAAAATCAATAACATGGGACAGAAACGATGGCCCAGGATTTAAAGTACCTGCTGACCTGGAAGGGGCAGCTCATGCCCTTAATCCCAGCTTCTGAAAATCCTCCAGAAGCACAGAGTTAAAGGTTAGCCTGTTTTACATGGAGAGATCCCAAATGTTCTTAGCTGCAGAGAGACCATCTTGTCTCAGGCTTTGCCACCACCATTGCTACAGAAAAAAGCAGCTAAGGTTCTTCTATAAAGCACTCACATGATTGCTCATGACCAACTCCAGTTTCAGGGACGACTCCATGACCTCCTGCTTTTATGGGCTATGAATGGATGTACATGGTGAGCTGCTTCTTAGCACATTCATTCTGTGTGTTTTGTGCTGAGGGTTCATTCCTGTTTGTAATTCAAGTCAAATGCCAAAGCACCACACTCCTTTATCACCTGAGGCATCTTGTCTGCCAGCCCTTAATAACACACACACACTCACACACACACATTGGAGGAAGATGTAGGTTCAGTATCCAGTACAAACAAGGTTGTAAAAATCTGTCCCTGATTCCAGTTGTTAACCCTTTTCTAGCTTCTGTAATTGCACACATGTGACACACAGACACATGCAGACAACACCATCCATGTGGATTTATTCATTTATTTTGTCATTTTTAAGGTGAAGTATGAAGATGTTGCTGCCGACTGTCGACTTGGTACTAAGAAAGGCCGTCCTTTTTCTGGTGTCACCTGTTGCTTGGATTTCTGTGCCCATTCTCACAAGGATAATCACAACATGATTAATGGAAGCACTGTGGTATGTACCCTAACCCTTTAGCAGGTATCCCTCCCCACTTCACCCCAGACTGGATTTCCTAGGCTCACTCTGTAAACCAGGCTGGACTGCTTTTGCCTCCCAAGCGTGGACCACCACAAATATAATTGTATTAAAAATATTGTAATATATTTGTTGCACGTTTAATCCTCCCAGCAATCTGGAGGCTAAGTTACTTGGATCTTTGTGAGTTTTATACCATTGTGGGTCTACATGCCTATTCCCTCCTCCCTGTGCCTCAGGTTTGTACTTTGCTTCGAAAAGATGCCCGAGACAGAAATAATCCCCAGGATGAGCAGTTCCATGTCCTTCCACTACACCGGCTTGCAGACACTGATGAATTTGGCTCCCGGGAGGGGATGGAAGCTAAAATCCGCTCTGGGGCCATCGAAGTCATTAAGCCATCCATGAAGAAGCTACTGCATTTCAATGAGCCTATTCCTCGATGTGGGAAGAGGAGGACCACACCAATGAAGCAGAACATAAATCCAGTTGCTGATGAAGTCAAAAGGAAGAGGAACTCTTCTAGTAAGTGTGGCCCACTGTTGCCCCAAATGCATCAAGCAGGTGTTCCCTGAACACCTTTCATCCCCAGAAAATCTGGTATTGCAGCTTTCTTTTTTGTGGGGGGGGGGGACATCCCCTACACTCACACACAAACACACACACACACACAAATGTGTACTTGTATTGTTGGGTTTTACTTTTTGGGCTCCTTAGGGCACCTGCCACCTCTTTCCCAAATAAGTCACAGCCTTATCTTAATTGAAGTTACCTCTACCTCTTGCCTCTTACTTGTGCCCTTGCTGGCTGTGTGTCTGGGTGTCTGGCCCCTAGCATCCTACCTCCTCGTGCTCTTTCTTTCTTTTTGATCCTAGATTTCTGCTATTTATTCTGTCTCTGGCTGTTCAGCTTTTTCAGGGTTAGGGTTAGGTATTAGAGCTAAAGACCCCTGCCTTTTGTGGTTTTTTATTTTTCAAGACATGGTTGCAGGGTTTCTTCATGTAGTCCTCCTCCTTTGGCTTATCTAATTACCATGCTCAATTAAAATTAAATACCTCGTCCTAACATTCAATTTCCCCCTTTACCTCAATAATCCACCTTTTGTCTGTCTTCTCTATCCAGAGCCAGTCCTTTGTCCGTTTGGGACAAATACCCTTAACCCCTTTCCCTGGACCCTATTCATTTCTCTCTCATTCCCATCACCTTTAACCACGTATCTTTCATACACAGACCTCCTCTTAAAAGTTACACCTGCAAAATCATTTGCTGCTGTTTTTCAGCCTGAGTCAGAAGGCAGCCACTTTAAATTTTCTTCTGCCCTGCTTAATCAATGTGGTTTGTTCCTAATCTGTGGCCCCAAAGGAAGCCCCCACTGTCCTCCTTCAGTGTTGTCTGCCTAATTGAGAAAGGTTTTACATTCTTACTGCAGTTTGGCCTATTTCCTAAGATGGCAATTGCTTCTCACCAGTATCATTGTCTTGATAATTCTTAACTCTGGAACAGGGTGTCGTGCATGCAATGGTCACTATTGTTTTTTATTCTCAGAATGCTGCCTTTTAGATATGGCTGGCCAGCAAAAGTCCGTGCTTTTTTCCTCTTTGTTCTTGGATTTTGTTTTTACAGTTCCTCAATGTTTTAACAAAGACCTAATTCTGATAGCTCCTGTTATGGGAGTATGCATTTTCAGGGTTTTTTTTTTTTTTTTTTAATTTTGAAATGAATATGATGAGCAACAGGAAAGATGGCTCACTGGTTAAGAGCACATAGGCTGAGGTGTAGCTCCAAGGCACAATACATCCCTATGACCCTAACATTAGAAGGCTGGTTATTTTGGTGTATGCTTGTAATCCAAGCACTGAGACAGCAGGACTCATAACCAATATCATAATGACCCTGTTTCAGACATACATTTTGCCTGCTTGTATGTCTGTACACCACATGCACACCTGGTGACTGAGGAGATCAGAAGATACTGTCTAGAGTTACAGACAATTATGACTTTCCATGTGGGTGCTTTTTACTCTCCCAGAGAGTAAAAAGTGTCCTTAACAGGACACGTTTTAAAAGACTGAAAAGGCTGGCAGTTGAGAGGCAGAGACAATCAGATAACTGAGCATGGTCTGCATTAGTGGTTTTCAGACTTCCTCATGCTATTTGCCTTTACTGACCATAAATGTTATCATCCCTCCTTTATATAACTGATTTTGCAACTCTGTGAATCCAAATGTAACATTCTTATATTTCAGTGGTCTTAGGCAACTCCATGAAAGTGTTGATGCCCCCTTACATACAAAGGGATCTCGTCTACATAGTGAGTGCCAGGACAGCCAAGTCTATATAGAAAGACACTGCTTACTACAGGCCTAATTCCGGTCAAGTGAATGCTTGCCTATCCAAAAGCTCAAACCAGGAGGCAATAAAAGCATTTTAACATCTGACAAGTAAATGCTTTTCACATTTGTTGTAACTTTCTGTTATGAACTAATAGGGAGATTCAGACAACACAAAAATGAAAGCCTCCTCCATGAAAACAGCTTCCTGTATGTACAATAAACAGGCTTCAGGTGTGTTTCCAGAAACAAGTAGCGTTCTACACTGCACAATGCCTTGTGGAACACACAGTGGTGCTAATGCAACTGCTGGTGAATGTGTCGGATGTGTTGGCAAAGTGGCTCCTCTTCCTCACCCATCTCTCCCCATAGCAGATTCCCCTGTTGATGCTGAGCCTCGGACTAGTCCATCTGAGCAGCTAACATCCAATCAGTCATACCCTCTGGTGACAGATGAGCAGCGATCTGCAGCAGATGAGGCTCTCTCAGACGACCTTTCCTCCGATGAGATTATCATCACTCAAACTGAGTTTTTGTCAGACAGTGAGGAGGTCTACTATGATCCTAGTTTTGGTGGAGTAGCGATAGCAGCTACTCATGGTTCCGTGCTGATTGAATATGCCCGGGGTGAGGTTCACGCTACCACCTCTCTGAAAAAACCCAACCGAGCTTTTCCTATACGTGCATCCCTTGTATACTACCAGCACAAAAACCTGAATTTGCCCCGACATGGTTTTGATCTTTACAGGATTAAATATAAACCCCGTGATTTAAAAAGAAAAAAGCCCGTAGTCAAGGTGGGTCCTGATTTATCCCTTGAATCCAATTTACACCACACAATTCCTTCTCGTATTGCACCGACCTTAACCCACAACAATGTTGTCACTGTATCTTCTTATGCTCTCACTAACATTGCAGGGCCCTATAACCATTGGGTCTGAAGGCTTTTCTCTCAAATTGCCTTTGCTAGAGCAGTGTGTAGTTTCTACGGTGCTGTTCAAAAGAAAATCACATTGGTGTTTACTGTATCTTCATTTCACCCATTTTAATTCTGAGGTAAAATTTAAATGGGGGTAGTTAACTGTGACTATATTTTGATATTTGGTGGAAGGTGTACATTTTTTGCAAAATTTTATAGTTTTAGGTGTTTGTTGACCATGATTGAATCATAGTTTGGTGCTTCAAATTAAGTGTTTACTATGAAGAGGATTTTAACAGGTTGCAATAAGTTGTGAAAACCAAGATACAGTGTTAACTCTATACATACAGTTCCTGGTGCTTAAACACATCAACACATGTAGTAATGAGCTGAATGACTGTGTCATGGGGCCATCCTTCCAGCATCTGATCATTGCTATCATGTCTGCACATTTCATTGAAATGCTTTTTCTCTTAAAAAATCTCTGGTATAAAATAATTCTTTATTCTAGTGGTGGTTGGAGGCTGCTAATTAACTGTAAATATGTATTTTGAAAAGCACTTTCTATTTTGAAAAGTAACTTGAAATAGTATGGTAGCTGAGTCCTATTGTCTACAATGTGTGCACATTTGCATACCAGAGAAGTCACTTATTGTAGTGAAGAGTCACATACTGTATTCAAATGATCTATGACTTATGAAATACAGGATCTCCAAAAAAATTAAAAAAAAATTAAAGTGCCATCAATATCAATTTCACCTTTTTAAATATGAATAAAAAAATTGCCTTCTGAAGTGTCCTCATGATTGAAGTTTATATATGACCCATGAGACATCCTTTTAAAAGATGGGACACATTGACATCAAATACTCCTGGTGTTTCCTTCCCAAATGAGAAGAAAATAGAAATAATTGAGGGGAAAACTCAATTACCATTATTGCTTCTAGCCCAACGACACAGTAAGAGCATAACTATTCATTAATCTGAACCTTTTGGGTTAAGGCAACTACTTCAGTATTCCAAGGTTCTTCCCATTGTTTAATTGATTTATATACCAAGAAAAATTCCCCAAATAAAAAAAGCTACAGTCAGGAAACTCAGTGACATCCAAATGCACGGGTGCTATGACATTCAAGGGATTGGAACAGAAATAATGGTGCTTCTCAGATGCCATAGGAAACCTGCAATTACTATCACAATCTCGGTGCAAGTTTCACCATGCTCTCTAAAGAATAACTTATTAAAATAATATATGGTGCAAAGTTTCTGACTAAGGGAAAGGGATTGTACATAAGGAAGTATCCATCAGCATTCCATTTGCAAGTAGCTTTATGCTCTTCTATTATATACAGTTATGTTGTCCTGATTTAGTGTTTGTGTGCCTTAGATTGCTGTTTAAAAACATCTATTTTTAGCTTAGGGTGTTTATTCATTTTCAGCTGCTTCAGTAAGGTATTTGTTGGTGCATACTATCAGGAATATACTCCCTTGTGAGATTAGCTTTGTGATTTTAGTGCTTATCTCCCATTAGAAATTGTTTCCTTGTCATGCTCATGGGGGGGGGGGAATCTTCTCTTCCTGTGTTTAGTCATTCCTCTATCCATCCCTCTAATGCACATTTAATTGATTCTTCTGGATTTAATTTGCTTCTGTTTTCCACTTAGGATTCAATATTATAAAGAAAATAACAAATTAGCTTTTAAAAACAGCAAATTTTTTTATTTATTTTTTATGGAGACAAATTCTTTCTGTCTTAACAGCCATAGCTTTCCTGGAACAAGCCTTGTAGACCAGCTTGTCCTGGAACCTGTATTTGCTAAGATTAAAGGTGTGGTGTATGCCACCATGTCTCATTCAAGAATGGTCTTTCTTATGAAACACCAAAATAAATTGATTTATGATGACAGTTATTAAACTTATGTCTATTTTAGTGAAACTACAAATTTTTTTAAAACCTTGCTCGTAAAGCTCAAGTTAAGGCTGTTCATAGTCTGAATGTTGAACACATTGTTATATCTAACTTCTATGGTAGCCCAACTGATGCTTTATGAGACTGGGTCTATGTAGTCCTGGCTATCCTGGAACTCACATAGTGAACCAGGCTAGCCTACAATTCACAGAAATTTGCCTGTCCCTGCCTCTGTTGGGATTAAAACTGTGTCACCCCTCTTTAAGCTGTTCTGTTTTTCTTAATGATTGTCAGTCTCATGTGTATTTATATACTGTTTCCAATTTGTTGGGACATTAGGCTAATAAAGGTAAATTTTTACCGCCTGTTCATATCTTAAATGACCTTGCAAATGTAATTCATTCACCTTCAGTTCTTAGCTTTATGGATATCTTTGTGTAACTGACTTGATTCACATTAAACTTTCTGGTACTTTTAGTCCTTCTGATGAGCATTTCACAATAGCATGTGCAAAACTAACCCCAGATTCGTATGTGGGACAAAGCTATGATGACATTTCATGACATCTTTCACCAGTTGTAGTCATATTGACCTGGAATGTGTAGGAATATGCGATTTTTAATACGATGTTGCCTTCGATCACTTGCTCAATGCATGAGATCACTTAGCAATCCCACTGCAATAGAAGTCATGAAGCTTAGGCCCTGTGCCCACAAAGCAGATGTCACGTGTTTGCTTGAAGCCTCTGTTCTTAGGTGGACTGTGCAAAACAAACTTTAGTTTTCTCACCAAGAGAGTACTGTATTATTTTGGATTATCCTCTCGCTTTTTTTTTTTTTTAAAACAAGTCCTCCAAGGAGCTTCAGAGCAAGAAAAGTCATGGTAAAATTAGGTCAAGATTCCCTGATTATCAATATCCTGGGCTTTGTGCAGAGAAATTACTGATGTTACCTATGAAACTAGCCTATTAACTTTCTCATGAGCAAGGCAATCTTTGTCCTTGCCATTCTCCCTGGAAACCAATGTTCGGTTTCTTAAGGACTGGATGGTGAAAATATGCTGAGGAGAGCATATTTTTCTTGTATATACTTCCTAGTCGTTGCACAATTCCTTCCTACCCCTCACCTAGTTAAGTGCCAGCTGTGAATTGTGATGTGGTCATCTTTGTAAATGGGAATGCTGGGTCATTGCACATAGCACTCCTAACCCTTCTCTGCATTGTCACGTCAGTGTGACATATTTAGCCCTGTTGCATAGCCATTACTTGCTTGTGTAATATATTTCTCACAGCATTATAAAGTAGTGCCGATCCTGATGTCAGGAAGGCCATTCAGATATAGTCAGTTCTTCCATGTTTTTCTGAGCATGTTAGGACAGGCTTCTGTATTAATTGTAGAGTCTTGTCTTCTGTAGCCAGTCATAACTATGACAAAATATTGAGAACTTTTTTTCCTTCTTCTTTTGAAACTCTCTCACTATATCGCCCTGGCCTGGTGTTGAACCTAACAGAGATTCCTCCTGCCTCTGAGTACACCACAGACGGTTCTTATAATACTGTGAACTGAACCCAGGGCTTTGTGTGTGCTGGGTTAGCACTACTATTAACCTTACTTCCCATTCTAGACCTTGGTTTTTTGTTTTTAAGGGAATCATGCCTGTATACAATCTTAACAAGTAGCCAAGACTTTTTCTGGAATTCAAGTTGCCATTTGGGTCCTCTGCCTTCCTTTTTGAGATATTATCTCATTATGTAGTTCAGGCTGGCCTTAAACACTGTTTTGCTTCAGCATGCAGGATGATAGTAAAACAACACAGACAGGGAAAAGAGCTCAAAATATGGTGCTTGCCTACTATGCTGGAAGAACCCTGGGCACAATACCCAATATTGCAGAAAAGCTCAAGTGTGTTAGGGGTTAAAAAGAAAAAAAAAAAAAAACACTTCTTAATTGTAAATTAAATATGCCCATTCTCTGGTAGCTTTTCCATCCACATTTGGTAGTTTTTAATCTCAAAACTACTAGCTCAGACCTTACAGCCCCATATCACTACACATAATAGTTTCTGAAATAAATCCTTGGTGGTAAGCCAATAGAAGCTATGGTGATGAAGTCAAGGTGCAGAACATGGTATTGGGCTCATTTCAGCAACAAAAGTGAAATTTCCACATCCTAACAACACCTTGTATTTCCTATCTGCTCTCTTTAATTTTTAACGAAAGTAGATGCTAAAATCAAGATAGTGTTTTGAAAACAAATAGGACATTAACAAAGTAGTATCTCTCCCTAAGTGTGGTCCACAAACCTTTAACTCCAGGTCATGGTAGAAGCACTCGGATTTTAGGTTCAAGACCAGCCTCAGTTATAGACTTACAGACTGCTTTATACAAGCTTCCCCACCTGCCAATATTTATAAATGACTGAAAGCAACAAGAATGGCCAGTGGCTTACTCCATGTGACACAACAATTCAAAGAATATTAGTGATATGTTTATGGGTCTTTTGCTCTCATTGTATGTGCTGTGCCCATAGAAACCAGTAGGGTCCCTTGGAAACTGGAGTTAGACTGTTGTGAGCTGCCATCCTGGTGCTGGAAATCCTCTGGCAGAGTAACAAGTGCTCTTAACCAGTGAGCTACTCACATATGAAATGCTCTTAAACTGCTAAGTGTTTCATGTAGTTATGCAGGATAAACAATTGGGGTTTTACTGAATAGAGCTATTAGGAAAATATAAAAATTATAAAGGTTTGGTTTCCATTGTTTACCTAGCTGTTTTCATTCACATATTAGTAAAGGTCTCAGATTCTCATTTGTTAGCTTAGGCTTATGGTTTATATTTTGTTTTATTATTTGTGTATGTGTATTTAAGGCATGTTCACAATATAGCTATAGCCCCCCCCCCAAATTCAATATATCCCAGGACCAAGTGCTCTGATCCATAGTTGTAGGGGTTGCATGTGTGAGTCACTTTATTCAGTGATCAAAGGCATAGAGATTCCCTAAGTAGTATTTTAAATAGTACTTTTAAAAGCCCCTTGCAATCAAAGTTTAATATATTTGTTTAAATGTACTGAAATGAAGGTTTATTGAAGGAAATGGTGCTAGCTGAACAATTTTAGTTCCTAGCCTTTTGTTATGATTATGCAAAATTACTATCTAACAGGTTGTATTGTCTCTAGATTGTACAGGTTGTCTTGTTGGGTTGGGTTGGTTGAGTGTGAGTGTTCTGCTTTGTGGCCAAATAGACCTTTATCTAGCGAGTTAACAATACTGGATATG